TTGAGACTTGAAAATTACAGGTCCATATTGTACCACCCATCTATGTAACATTGCTGTACTTACGTAGCTTCCTATTTTGATTCAGGATATTCTATTTATTTATTGCCTGCACTCATAGATGTGCTGTTGCAGTACCCTGTTCTCATCACTGGTAGCAAAGGACATACTGTTCGTTTTTGCTGCAGACGCTGAGGCGTGTCAGGGGCTGGGTTTGGCGTGGTAGGAGCCTGCCCTCCACCAGTTGTCGAAGCTAGGGTTGACTAGGGAGACCCGCGACGCCCTGGAAGATATCGCTTCGTTTTCTCTCTCTTTCAGGCTTAGGGGAGTGCGGGCGACCACGGCCGTAGCGAAATAATGTCACCTCTGCGAGAGAGAAAACTCACAGGTGGCGCGCGCGGCGCATGTCGTGCGATTTCGCGGTTATGGTGCGCCGAAGTGGTAGACATTGACATGGGCTGCCACCACGCCTTTAGTCTATAGCGGCAGGGTGCGCATTTACAAATTGACCGGTAAACGCGACGGTATCTGCTTTTTTATGAAATGTTCCAACCGAACTCGAAACAACTTTCCAGCTGCCTTCTATGTCACAGTGCTGTTAATCAGTCATCATCTCTTCCTTCCTGCCTTCCCCATTGCCCTGATGCTGCGTACCTTCCATTGGCAAAGTGCCAGAAAGATCACTGCTTCAAGACTGCAGTGATGCAGCGCTAGATTTTGCTCCCTTCTCGTCGCGCCATCGCTGCGGCGATACGCTACGCGAGCGCTCGTCAGTGAGTTCTTCTGCAAAACTTCGCCACCTGGTCCCCTCTATCTACATTAGCGCTAAGGAGTAATGTCCTTGTCATCCATTGCCCGTATCGTGGCTTTTGAGGCGATGAGGAGTGGAAATTCTTAAGAAGCAAGCCCATGATCATCTCCCTCGGAGACGGTCCAGTAACGGCGCACAAATCGCACAAGTCAAGATCGGCGGATTTCGCCTGAGGTTCATTACGATACTCTGGGCGATTGTGATCCTGTTCAGAACAAATTGGTCCAGTGATCGGAGAAAGATGCAGTTCCATGTGCTTACGGAGCTACAGTGTGCCATCTCTGCCAGTTCTTTCCCTCTTGACTTATTCCGCAATCCTCAGCATCTTCACGCTAGTGCAGATGCAAAGTGACAAGTGCTTAGGTAGCTGGCCTGTTAGGAACGGAAAAAGAGAAATTAATGAAAATTCAACTACAGGCTGCAGAGTAGCCAAAAGGCCATGTGGCTGGAACGGGCTACTTTAAAGGACGTGGCGGTCCTGAGGGGAAGGGGTGGAGTGGTGTTCCCGCAGTTGTTGTGCCAGCATTTTAAGCCGTGGCTGTTTTCCAAACGTGCTGCTCAGTGATCCACCATTTTCGGAATAGGAAATACAGCTTTTTTTTTTTGACTCTGTAGTCGGTGCTTCGTGCAGTATTATTGCAGTTGTTGCGTTTAAAAGAGGGATGTGGAGTGTCGTAACTATTGTCGGTTCGTGTAGCACGTTTATCGGACCATTGTGCATGTTTTTCTGCACAAACTACTCCTTTGTTGATTGTGGTGTATTTTGCGGTGTAGTTTTCTCTCAGTCATTTTAATATGTTCCTTTTATATATATTTTTTTTACAACTACAACCATCTTTAACCAAAACATCGTTTATAAGGGTTACTCGCTGCCCCGGTCCCGAATATAACATTCATTCAGGTGCCTGCGCAATTGGCACTAATTTTACACCAAATCTTTTCAAGGCACCGTAGTCACCGCGCCGTCATGCGCGGCGCATCGTGCGGCGATGCGCGACAAAAGAGGTCTTTGCGATTGTCTTGTCACACAACCCTTGTTGAGTGCCTCATCCTTTTGAGTGCACCATCGTTCCCTCATTCGAATAATCTGTTCACTTCGACACGAGGAAACACAACTTGTATTTTGATTACTTCTTCACTCTGTGCAGCTGAACCGTTTTAATTGCTCAATATTTCTTTGGATCGGGAATGTTTAAGGTCCAAACGCTATCAAATACCGAAATGGGAGACGAAGCGGAGAAGGCTGATAAGATAAGCTCTCTCATCGATTTACCCCTATTTTCTTTTTCTAAATTTTACGAAATTCAGGCAAAAAACAGCTTCATCGAATCCGACATTGAACAACAGTCGCGATGTTCACAAGACCAGCTCAGTCGAACATGATTTGTACAAGGAAGAGGTTGTGCTTGGACTAGAACCAGGTCAGTTACTCGCACCACTAGATAGTAGAAAGCATGGTGATTGTCTAGCTTGAAAGTGGAACAACATAGATCCAAACATCAGCGAGACCAAACTATTGTACACTTATGTTGTATGCACTGAGGCAACTTAATTCGCGGATGGCGCACGTTGACGCGCAGCTTACCGCTGCTAGCGCGCTGCAAATTTTATAGGCAGCAGTCGCAGACGGCCGTTGTCGCGCATTTGTCATGCGCGTTGCATTACACAGTCTAGCATTGATCGGCGCCGCTAGCAGCCAGAACCGATCGATGCTAGACCGCGGACTGCGCGTACCTTCCACTTCTGCCGTACGATGCGTTCATACCTTGCGGTATTGCCCACCAACGACCAAGAGCGTCCACCAACATCCCGAGCATACGGCAATTTCAGCGACTAGGAAAGCATAGATGTCGATCTCGCGTCTTCCAGCTCTAAAACGACCAGCGGCGTCTCGAAGGCTAGGAAAGTACAGGTATCGATCAAGATCTGCCAGCGTCTACCAGCGTCCAGCAGCAAGCAGTAGTCTGCTACCCTCCTTTCCCAGTACTTTACTAGGTGTCTGCTACCCTCTATCAATTCTCTACCACCTGTCTGCTACTGTACTATCACCGCTTACTCTCCACTCTTCGGACGCTGCTGGTCGCCGGTAGACGCTGACAGACGCTAAATCCATACCCTTGCTTCGCTAGCTTTCGAGACGCTTCTGATCGCTGGTGGACGCTGGCACACTGGTAGGCGCTGGCAAATGCTGGCGGACGCTAGATCAAAATCCGTATTTTCCTAGTCACTGATACCGCCAGAAATGCGGAACTCTGGTGAACGCTATTGGTCGCTGGTAGGCGCTTCTGAGCAGACTCGGTGCAGCACGTTGACGCGTGTCATGGCAAAGTATGAACGTTGCCTTAAATACACATCGTAACCCCACACTGTTCTGAGGGTGCGAAGTCGCTTCAGGAATCTTCTAAGTCCATCATTTTACTCTTTACTCACTTGTCTCCTTTAAGGTCCTCCACTGTTGAACGATGCTCTTTGTTCGAGTGCCGCATGACGATATTTCTAGCTCATGCGAGGGCAACGAATCGACCGTATATTCCAATGCAGTGTGCACCTCTCTTAACTTGTCGAATGTAAGCTATCGTTAGCATAACTGTTTGTCATTTACTTCCTAGTATTATGGGATAAAACTTAAACTTCATTCAGTTTCATTCGTCTGACTTGGACGTCTCTATTATTGAGGGTGATGGAGGGCGCCTCATGCGTCGTCGTGAAAGTAGGTAATTCTTTTACGCAAAACAATCAATTAGATAATCAATTCAATACTAACCCATTGTTTTGGCGCCGTTTCGAACATATCTGAGAGATCAGGTCTATGCTTAACCACAGCACTCTCAACTAGTACCTTTCCGCATGGTCCTGTTGCGAAACCACGCAGCGTATACATCTAATGGGCAGCGGTTGCCAAAGCATTGACAGCTGCAACAAAACATGTGGCAGGCTATGGGATTGCTCTTTCGGGGGAGAGGAGTTGAAGGAGGGTAGAGCACTTACCTGTTCGCGAAAAGTAATGATATGTGAAATCACAGAGGCCACGAACGCCATGTAAACGAGAGACTGCAGAGAAAAACAGGAAATCGGAGATGATTTTTAAGGATTAGGTTCACTTTGTCCATAAACGTCTTCGAACCAAATCTTCCTGGTGCTCTCCGATGAACTTTTCTTCTTTGAAGTCCATATCGTCCATATCAGAGGGAAGCACAAGGTGTTGCTGCGAAAGCGGAACCAAGCGGAGACAAGTGTATTGGAGCGGGAAGTCCGCGTGGGAGTGTGACCCTTGCCGGGACACTTTTTTCCGTCTGATATGGGCGACAGATACCAATAAATGTGGTCCAACTCATTCTGAAGTTGAATATTTCAGTATTCAGACCTAGGCATGGCGAAGCAGATGAGGAGTATGAACACACGGAGGACTTCAGTGTACTTAGGGGTGGTGATGCAGATGAGCAGTATGAACCAGCGGAGGACTTGAATGAACCTGCGGCGTGGAGATGCAGATGAGGGGAATGAACAAGCGGAGGACTTGGATGAACCTGGGCGTGGAGATGCAGATGAGGAGCACGAACAGACGGACGACTTGGATGTAACCCAATCAGAAGAAGGGCACTAGCTTGTTGGGCGATATTCAATTGTTGAAATACTCGGCTCCTATTATTTCTTCTCACGTAATGAAGCCGTTAATTGTTTTCTTTTTCATCTTTTCACTTTCTTGACAAATTTTCAACTGCCCTCATCGGAATATGCAAAGGGGCGTTTGCATCTGATGAATGCAAGCTAAATCAAGGTCCTAAACGTGAATGAGGTGTAAGTCTGTCTAGAAAACCTTGTGGACATTACCCTAGGGATGCTAGTATAGTGTAGTTCGCTGCGGACGGTTGGGTACGGAAGCGATCGTGTCAGGAAAATGCGGTATGGATTAATGAGAGACAGGTGCCAAAACGCGTTCTCACAGTTGGTTTGAAGCGGTGCAAGTGACATTACCTGTATCATTCTGCTCGTACTACTCGCCGTTCTCCACTCTTTGTCGCATGGCGCGTTTTTCAAACAGAAAGGCAGAGAGCGGCTTTGACGGGGTGATACACTAATATGGCTAACACGCCCAACCGTCCGCAGCGAACTAGAGTGTAGACTGCTGGTTTGGCACTCCGCCAACTCGTTCTCCTTCAAGTAGTTGAAGCGTTGAGCGGCTGAATGCTGGGAACATCGAATATGACTACGTCCTTCGCCGAAAGAAAATGAAGATGGGCTGACGTCGCGCCAAATCCTTGATACGCCCCGTCATCTGCAGCGAAAGGCTATACATGTAAAGGCCTTTAAAATGCTCATTTCCAAAAGAATCGGGAGCATGTGTGGAATATTCTGACGCACATCGTGATAACGAAAACCCTTTAACGTTAACCTTAGGCTGGTTGACAGCTCGGTTCCACACTCTATATCCTGAGTGGGAGTGGGCGTGGCAACAAACGTGTAGAATGGGTTGCTTTTGTTATACTTTTGTTTGGGACAGCTGTCATCTTGTTCAGTGCTAGACAGAAGCATGATCACAAGTGTGTCAAAATGAAGATATCTCACCAAAAGCTTTTCACGTAAAGGTGAAGTACGATGCCACGCCTACTGCATCTCAAGGATTTCGAGTGTACATCTCCTTCATCCCCCCTTACCCCCAGAAAAATGACAAGGAAAGCTGACTCAGCGAACGAAGCGATCAGCGAGATACACATTAGGCAGCGTTCACACTTGTAGCGCTACAGCGTCGCGCTACTGCGTCGCGCTACAGCGTCGCGCTACTGCGTCGCGCTACAGCGTCGCGCTACTGCGTCGCGCTACAGCGTCGCGCTACAGCGTCGCGCTACAGCGTCGCGCTACAGCGTCGCGCTACAGCGTCGCGCTACAGCGTCGCGCTACTGCGTAGCGCTACAGCGTCGCGCTACAGCGCCGCTTCGCAACGTACTGCTATTTCCTACGTTAGGATGATTAGAGTTGTTTACAGAGAAAAGGGAAGGTTGCTGGAGTTTTCTTGAGAAATTCACGGAAAGGTGAGACTGATACAGCTGTAACTATCTGACGCCAACTTGACAGTTACTCCATTAGTCACTATTCTTCTGGTACTGCTTTTAGCGTAACAGTGTCCTTCTGTCCTAAGAGCATTTTCTGCAAAAAACACTCAAAGAGTACTCGCGCCACCTAAAAGCAAGCACGCATGTTTTTTTTACCGGAGGCACAAGAACCATAAAGGAACTTCTTGTTCGCCTTGTGTTAACGCATTGGTGACCAAACAGTCTTCGCGTGCCTGTTGTGTGAGATAAGGCCATTTTTTTCTGCTGACGACAAATGCGACTGAACGAAATGTGTGTTGGTTTGCCATTTGTACGTGGATGCCAAAAACTATTTCGTCATCGTCACCGCTCGAGGACCACTGGCAAGCATCAAGCAAAGCCATCAAACACCAATAGCAAACTTCTTGCAAACCGATAACTCAGTCAAACACGGTAAATAAAACCAATTATAACGGTCTCATTTCTTTTCTTTCTTTCTTGGTTTCATTTCTCAAGAAAACTCCAGCAACCTTCCACCTTTTCTCTGTAAGCAACTCTAATCATCTTAACGTTGGAAACAGCAGTACGGTCCGAAGCGGCGCTGTAGCGCTACGCAGTAGCGCGACGCTGTAGTTAGCTCGCTAACGCAGTAGCGCGACGCTGTAGCCGCCCTACGCAGTAGCGCGATCGCTTGTAGCGCGACGCTGATAGCGCGACGCTGATTTTTAGCGCGACGCTCATAGCTCCTACAAGTGTGAACGCTGCCTTAGAGGCGCAATCGATGCGGATGAAAGCATGTGCATCGATCGCGTTGCACGCGCGACCGAAGTGCTGCCGTCACGAAGTCTGAACGGTGCCTTAAATGACTTTTACCTCTTCTCCACACATTTGTGCCAGTGGCCACCCATATGGGGCCGAGGCAACTGGGCTGGCAGGTGATAATTGTGTGCCAACCGCAATTATCGAAATTTCTTGATTGCCCATGACATCAATAACAAGTCAGTCGGATTACTATCGCCAGAGGAAAAAGCTTAACAAATCGACTACACAGCAACCTAAAAGTGTGCTCTTAAAGTCACGTTTTGCGATTCTTGCAAGAAGCAGAGCTTCGCATAGCACAAAGTAGTGTGGACTATTTAAGAACCTTGTACCAGTTTTGCGTCAGACAGTTGCTTAAGGGGCTTATGATGCGTAATTACTTGAGTAGTCTCTCATAAAAGCAATTCGCTCGCCGATGTATCTCGAATGCTCGTCTATATGCACTCCCAGGCTCTTTTCCGGTCTTTCGAACAGAAGCTCGACGAATTTTCACCTTTGAACATTATCAGTAGGAAGGGCTTTATAGATGGTGTGCCCAGCGGGGATCCCTTACTGCCACCGCCTAGCTCCACTCTTTGCACTTCTCGCTGCGCAGCTCGATTCTTTGTGATTGAACTTGTCGTGATTGTCAATATTTAATAATACGTAACGATTAGAATCAAATTAATTAAATTAATGAATGATGACGCTTCACAATGAATGTGAGTCGAGACGAGGGAGCAGACTGGGATAGGCGTCTCTTCGGGCACGGAACGCTAATCTGCAGGAGATCGACATCGGAGGACATCTGAAAGTGAAAACCCAATGGTACGTTTAAAAGTCTGGCCATATTTCAGAAGTATGGAAAAACATGAAAAATTGCCTTGGCTTGTAGGACATGCATCCGGGGCACTCCATCTCACTAGGACGAGCACCACATCTACAAGGAGGTGGAGCCGGCATTGGGGCCATCTCTCGACAGCAAATATTGTTTGGAGATGGTGCAGCGAGACAGCATTGCTCTTGATCTGCAGGTGGTGGCGCTGGTGCAGGTATTAGCGCCTGAACAGCATAAATATTACGTAATTAGTTGCAAGCGATAGCTATGAAACCGAGAAATTAACGATGTACCTGGCAGCAAGGGTTTACAGGAACAGGAGCAGCTCTACAGCACTGGACGGTCGAAACAACCGGAGGAGGTGGAGGTGGTGGAGGTGGCGCTTGACAGCAACTTGGTGACGGTCTCGGAGATGCACAACAACTCCTCTGTTGCGGTACTTCCATGATCATTTGAGGTGAATCCGAGCAGCATACTGGGCAAATATTGCATATCGGAGTGGTGCCACATCTGCCCATGGAGCATTGCCGTTTAGCTCTCAGTGTAGTAATCGATCCTACATCCTACAAGATTTAATAGGTAATTGAACTAGTATAGAGGGGGGCAATCAATATTTGATAAACTCACGGTTGCACTTGGCAAGGCTGACGATGAGGCCACGGTTAGGGCAGCAAGTATAGAAAGACTGTTGCGCATCTGTAAAAAAGTCCAATATTCGCACATGCATGTTTACAAGTATTACTGTAAACAGGCGGAGACGAACCACTGTCAAATCGAATACAGTATCCCATCATGGGAAGATCTCCGATTTCCTCACGACTTATCGCTGATATTTTTTGCAGTTATTCGGGCATTTCGAGTATTCTTCACTGAGGAAAAGCGCTTACCCTGTATGTGTTGACAGATATTATCTAAGGTGGGAACAGCTATAGTGGGGAGTGACTCCATTGGTCAGGCCTTCGATCGACTTACAAACTGAGCTGATCGAGCCCATCTCCCCTCTGTAGCCGGTAAACGTGCCAGTAAAGTTCGCAAAGATTGGATCTCTTTCCCACATGTCGGCAAGTCATCAAGTTGTTGTATAGGCCAGATCGTATTCAAAAGGCCAACACAATTCGAAATAGGAATCAAGTGCGTGGTGGATCCGGGAGAAGGGACTTGGTAAGGTCAGACGTACTACCGCTTAGCCATAAATGTAGCAGAGCCGTATTAGTCCTTTGACTGGTACAGATGAGAGCAACGGTCGGAAACCGAATTGACGATGCTGGAATGTTTACCGGATTCAGAACAAGACTTCATCACCACAATCCTGAGAATATTTAATTGAGATATGGACCAGGGTAGAATAACATTATGCGTGAATGCCGGTGTTGATACGAAAAAAATTTAAAACTAACTCAAAAAGTTCTTCATCTGATACAACCCCTTTCCCTGTGCCACATATCATGCACCTAAATTCTCCCAATTCCCAATAAAGTTTCTAAAAAAATTTCCTTTCTCTTAAGCTGGGATCGGAATCATCGCCCATCAACTATCAACTTGAACTATGACAAATAACAGTTAAATGGTAGTTATGCGCTTCTGGCAAGTGAGTGTGCGAGCTGCAGGGCAAAGCATCGTGATGTGTGAAGTGGTGGTGTCAGTACGACCCCTTTCCCCATCACCTACCTACCGATTATCCTTTTCCAGTGTTTCACCCAAAAATTTTCCGTCGAACTGTGGTGGGGGGAGAGGCGTGGGGTCTTTAGTACACATGAAACAGGAAAAATCACAAAAGGCAACTATTAGGAAAAAATTTTTCCCGACTCAGTTAATTCCACTCAAGGCCC